ACCTCCAAAGTGTGAGGACCAGTGGACAGCCCCTTGCTCCAGACTAGCTCCATTTTTATTGCATTCCCCATTGCTTTAATCATCAGTCTAATGGCTAACCCTCACATCATGGTTCTTGCTGGGCTTGCATTTTCTAACTGAACTATTTCTTTATCTAACTATGTTAATTAGACTGATTTACCCTTTACTGTTATTACTCTAAGGTATTTATGATCCTCACACAAACAGAGCACGGGACAAGGAACACAGTCCAGGAGCAGGATGTCAAAGCACACCCCAATTAGGCCATGTACACAAACCTCAGGAGTGGCAGTTAACACTCAAGAAGCCTTGTGCTCAGACAGACTAATACTTCTAACCATACCAAGAAAGGAGATATTTTTGTCCTTATCTAGTCTTGAGAGACCCTTTCTGTCTTTAAGTTTAAATGTTCTGCATTCCCTAACTCCCCCAAAGCACTCACTGTCCCTGAGAGGGCAGCCCCACCCAGGGGAGCTTTGCCTGCTCAGTGACCTCGCAGAGAAGTTGCACTGTGAAGGGAGTGCATGGAAGTTCCAGTAACATAGCCTCCTCCGCCTTAAAGGGGGCCAGGCTTCCAGGCACTGCATTTTGCACCAGATTTTGCATTTCTCTGATCCATTTCTCTCCTGTCTCTGTTCCCTTTTCCCCATCATTTATAATCACTTTCATAATTCAATTTCTAACCTACTTACAACAAACAATTGAATATTGGTTTTAAGATTATTAAGTCATTATTACTAGCAATGTTAGTGCATCAAGCTATGACTCTTCCCTTAAGTACCAATATGTGCAGCCCCAATCCATTCCATCTGAATGGGAGCCAGAAAATATGCTTTGGCTAATTGTGTAGGTTGCTGACATTAAAATGATTGCTTAACATACTTTTTATGAAACTCTGTCCATCTTGCTGTGGAAATATTTCCATTAATATTCAATGGTATGCAGGATGGTGAGACAGAGAGATGAAGGATTTGGGCTGTCCCTATGTTCATAAGTGGACATATGAATATAATTTCATAAACTTTGTGCTGTGAGAACTACCTGATATCCAAACCCGTGCTTACAACCTTGACTTTCTGCAAATCATTTTCCCCAGTTCTGCTAAAATGATCTCCCTACAATATACATCTAACCATGACACTCCTATGCTTAAAACACTCTCACAGTTCTCATATATCTGCAGAGCAATGGCCAAGCAAATTAGCATCATTCTTATGAAGAGAGGCCTACCAACCTTGCTTTCCCAGGGTGTTTCTCATTATTTCTTACCTTGCATTATAGAGTCATGGGAAAATTATAATTTATTCTTTATTTTATGCTTTTGCCCAGGCTGTGAATCTTTGCTTGACCAAACTTCTTATTCTTTGATGGTTTA